ACGAAAAGAAATAAATGGAGTCCAACACAAATATGAAAAAAAACATTGGAGTCCCTCTACGGCTGAACGCCATGCCCTTCCGAACCGAAGCGCGGAAATGTAACCACAGGGCTACAGGGGAACTCCTTTAATTGGGAAGCAAATTTAACGCTACCTATATGCACATGAAATGTAGTTTTTATTGACAGGCTAATCTTGCATTGGCAAATGGGCTATGAAAAAATGACAGACCTTTGGTCAGTTATAGAGTTGTTTTAAGTCCATTATTCAATGTTTTCAAAACAAAACAAAAATAACGTTTAAGAAAAAAAGAATGGAAAAAAAAAATTTGGAGTCCCTTTGCGGCTGAACGCCATACCCTTCCGAACTAAAGCGCGGAAATGTAACCACTGGTCTACAGGGAGAGTCCTTGAATTGGGTAACAAATTTAACGCTACCTATATGCACATGAAATGTAGTTCTTATTGACAGGCTAATCTTGCATTGGCAAATGTGCTACGAAAAAATAACAGTCTATTGGTCAGTTTTAGATTTCTTTTAAGTCGATTATTTAATGTTTTCAAAACAAAACAAAAATAACGTTTAAGAAAAAAAAATTTTTTTAAAAATTTGGAGTCGCTCCGCGGCTGAACGCCATGCCCTTCCGAACCGAAGCGCGGAAATGTAACCACTGGGCTACAGGGGGACTCCTTGAATTGGGTAGCAAATTTAACGCTACCTATATGCACATGAAATGTAGGTTTTATTGATAGCCTTATCTTGCTTTGGAAACTATGCAATGAAAAAAAATGAAAGAGCTTGCTTAAGTTATAAAGTCTTTTTTGAAATCCCTTTTTAAATCTTTCCCAAGAAAAAAGAAAATAACATTTCCATCAAGATCCGTTCTTTTGCAGGTCTTTGCTTGTTGGATATAAGCTAATCAAGAGAGTTGAAATGAAATTAAAAAAACACATAACAACAAAAGATGTATTTTACGGTCAGCCAGGTTTGATTTCCTATCTTAAAAGCTCTTCTCACCGTTAACTTAGTTCAAAACGAAAAAATAGAAGCTTAGACAAAAAGAAATAAATGGAGTGCAACGCAAATATGAAAAAAAAAAAATTTGGAGTCCCTCTGCGGGGGGCTGAACGCCATGCCCTTCCGAACCGAAGCGCGGAAATGTAACCACTGGGCTACAGAGGGACTCCTTGAATTACGTAGCAAATTTAACGGTACCTATATGCACATGAAATGTAGGTTTTATTGATAGCCTTATCTTGCTTTGGAAAATATGAAATGAAAAAAAATGAAAGAGCTTGGTTAAGTTATTATTTTTTAAATACCTTTTTAAATGGTTCGCAAACAAAAAGAAAATAACATTTCCATCAAGATCCGTTCTTCTGCAGGTCTTTGCCTGTTGGACACAAGCTAATCAGGAGCGCTGAAATGAAATTAAAAAAGCACATAACAAGAAAGATGTATTTTACGGTCAGCCAGGTTTGATCTCCTATCTTAAAAGCTCTTCTCACACTTAACTTAGTTCAAAACGAAAAAATAGAAGATTAGACGTAAAGAAGTAAATGGAGTGTAACACAAATATGAAAAAAAAATTTGGAGTCCCTCTGCGGGGGGGCTGAACGCCATGCCCTTCCGAACCGAAGCGCGGAAATGTAACCACTGGGCTACAGGGGGACTCCTTGAATTAGGTAGCAAACTTAACAGTACCTATATGCACATGAAATGTAGCTTTTATTGATAGCCTTATCTTGCTTTGGAAAATATGAAATGAAAAAAAATTAAAGAGCTTACTTAAGTTATAAAGTCTCTTTTGAAATCCCTTTTTAAATCTTTCCCAAGAAAAAAGAAAATAACATTTCCATCAAGATCCGTTCTTTTGCAGGTCTTTGCCTGTTGGATATAAGCTAATCAAGAGAGCTGAAATGAAATTAAAAAAACACATAACAAGATGGATGTATTTTACGGTCAGCCAGGTTTGATTTCCTATCTTAAAAGCTCTTGTCACCCTTAACTTGGTTCAAAAAGGAAAAATAGAAGACTAGACGAAAAGAAATAAATGGAGTCCAACACAAATATGAAAAAAAAGAAAAAAAAAAAAAAATTGGTGTCCCTCTGCGGGGGTTGAACGCCATGCCCTTCTAAACTTGAGCTCGGAAATGCAACCACTTGAATTGGCTACAGAAGGACTCCTTGAATTAGGTATAAAATTTAACGGTACCTATATATGCACATGAAATGTAGTTTTTATTGACAGCCCAAACTTGCTTTGGAATACTTGTTCTGAACGTTATAAGAGAACGTCCTTAAGTTATAGAGTTTTTTCTCAATCCATTATTAAATCTTTCCGAAATAAAAAAATAAAAGCTCCCAATTAAGATCAGTACTTTTTCAGATCTTTGCCTATTGGATATCAGCTAATAAAGAGCGCCTTAAATGAAAAAAAGAAAGGTATGGCAAGATTGGTATTATTAACGGTCAGCAAGGTTTGATGTCGTTCCTTAAAAGGGGTTTTTACACGTAACTTGGTTTAAAAGGGAAAAAAAGAAGATCGTAGGAAAAAATGTCGATGGAGTCCAACAGAAATATGAAAAAAAGAAAAACAACAACAACAACAACAACAACAACAACAACAACAACAACAAAACAATAAGAAAAAAAATAAACGCGGAGTCCCTCTGTGGGGGCTGAACGCCATGCACTTCCGAACCGAAGCTCGGAAATGTAACCACTGGGCTACCAGGATACTCCTTGAATTATGTAGCAAATTTAACGGTACCGGCCTATATGCACATGACATGTAGTTTTTATTGACAACCCAAACTTACTTTGGAATACGTGCTGTGAAAATTATGAACGACTTGCCCTAAGTTATTATTGTGAGAATATTACAATGGCTAGCCTTACATACGTATGTCTCTTGCCTGCAGGGGACTCATTAGAAGCCTTTAGCTAACTTGTCAAACATCGTGGTTTGAAGTCCCGCTAGCATGAAAATGATGGTGGCAAGCTGGCCTTATATCACATAAGGATTCCCAATTGCGTAATATGCCATTCAACAGCTAGAGAAAAGTGTGAGAATATTACAATGGCTAGCCTTACATAAGTATGTTTCGTCCCTGCCAAGGGACTCATCAGAGGCCTTTCAGCTAACTTGTCAAATATCGCGTTTGAAGTCCCGCTAGCATCAAAATGATGGTGGCAATCTGGCCTTTCAACAACTAGAAAAAGAAATAGAGTTTTTTGAAAATCCATTATTAAATCTTTCCCAAATAAAAAGAAATGACCTCCCAATTAAGATCAGTACTTTTGAAGGTCTTTGCCTATTGGATACAATCTAATAAAGAGCGGCTTCAATGAAAAAGGACATGGCAAGATGTGCATAATTTAAGGTCAGTTAGGTTTCATGTCCTTCCTTAAAAGGTCTTTTTACACCTAACTTAGTTCGAAGGGTTCGTGCCCTGGCCGGGGACATTGTGTTGTGTTCTTGGGCAAGACACTTTACTCTCACAGTGCCTCTCTNTAATGCTGGGGATAACCCTGCGATGGACTAGCATCCCATCCAGGGGGAGTAGAAATACTCCTAGTCGCTTCATGCTACGCAAACCGGGATAAGCTCCGGCCTGGTGGGCCACTTGGCTTGTATGCAGACTTTACCTTTTTTCTTTTTACTCCGAAAGGGAAAAAAAACATTGTACCAAAAAATATTAATGGAGTCCAAGAGAAATGCCCTTCCAAACCGAAGCTCGGAGATGTAATCACTGGGTTAGGGTTAGGCTACCGGGGGTACCTATATGTACATGAAATGTAGTTTTTATTGACAGCCCAAACTTGCATTGGAATACGTGCTGTGAAAAGTATGAACGACTTTCCTTAAGTTGTAGAGTTTATTTGAAATCCCTTATTAAATCTTTCCACGAGCCATAAAAAAACCTTCCAATTAAGATCAGTACTTTTGAAGATCTTTGTCTATTATATACAAGGTATAATAAAGAGCGGTTCCAATGAAAAAAAGACATGGCAAGATTGGTATTATTTACGGCCAGCCAGGTTTTGTGTCCTTCCTTAAAAGATGTTTTTGCACCTAAATTGGTTCAAAAGGGAAAAAAAGATTGTACGAAAAAGCATGAATAGACTCCAACAGAAAATTAAACAAAAACGGTGTTCCCCTGCGGGAGCAGAACGCCATGCCTTTCTGAGGCGAGACTCGGGAATGTAAGGGCTGGTTCACACTTTGACATAGGCATAAGCATAAACATAAGCACAAGGAATGGAACTTTTTCCATTTTCTTATGCTTATGCTTATGCTTATGTTGTGAATACTTGTGAACCGGGCATACATAAGCATAAGCGTAAGCGTAAAGAGTTTTCTTGTCAGCGGAATTCAGCGGAATTCGGTGGGTGGGTGGATGGATGGATGGATGGATGGATGGATGGATGGATGGATGGATGGATGGAAGGACGTGCGGACTGACGGACGGTTTGATTGATGGTTTGTTGGATGGAAAGATGATTGGATGGATGGATGGTTGGATGGTTGGATGGATGGATGGATGGATGGAGAGAAAGCGTTGGTCTTCTCTTTATTAAGAAAAATATCAGGTCAATTGTCGTGAAGGGTACGACATTTTCCATGTATGGTAGAGCACTCAGCTAGATGCTTGTTCGCCCTTGTTTTATCAGGTTTAAGATATTTATATGAGTTTTCAGGTGAAGTAATTTATAACCTGCTACAATCAGAGACCGAAATATTGAATATTGGTTTACCTGCTGCTAGAGCACTTATTTTTTGTTTAACATAAGACATTTTGTGTACCTATTTGTAATAATGAACTTGTGATTCCTAGAAAAGTATTGCTTTGTCGTGTATTTTTCGTTTTTTTGTTCCCAATGATTTACATTTGCTTCCATTAGCAATATTCCTACAGTATAACCAGCTGAGAAAAATATAAACAGACTGTGGGACTAGTTATTTATAAAAGAAAAACTGAAGTTAGCATCATCCTACAGCAAGGTTCATGACGCTGAGAGTAACCACGAAGCCTGAGAAGAATTTTGAGAATCAGAGATGCTACTTTTCGTTGGAATAATTCTTACACTAATAGCACCTTCATTTATCCAGGGTAAGACAGTTGGTTATTATAAAATTGGTGGAGAAGGAAAATTTTAGAGCGGTTTTCAACTGAGTGTCGTAAAACCAAAACCCAACCAGATACACTACTCAGCCACTTTCAAACCGTAGTAAATAACTAAAACCAAAACCAAAGTAATTGCCTGATTACTTAATTTCGACACTCAATTGAAAACCGCTCTATAATGTTCATAATGACTGTTAAAGAGACATAACTTTTTCATTTTCAGCAGACTAGTCCTGGGGCCTGTTTCTCGAAGGTCCTGCAAAGTTTTTGCACCCGTAAAAGCCATAGCAAAATCTCGAACCTTATGATTACAGAGCTGTTTTATTCGCATATTCTTAATATGAACAGATTTTCCCTTCATACAGGAAGTTTAAGACGTATACACTTCTACGTATTTGGCTACAGATGAACTAAAAATGGCTTTACGGGCTCAAAAAGTTTCTGGGGCTTTCGAGAAACGGGCCCCAGAAGTTAATAAGACGTGCGCCGTTTCAGCGTACAGTCATTCCAAGAGTAACAATTTCATTTCCCTATACATGTATTTGCGCTTACACATTAGCAAATGTTATCATTTGGTCTTGAGTAACTTGAGAAACATCCTTGTCTTTTGAGATAGCGTCTGCCAGTAACTTAACATTACTAATTTACTGATTTACAATTCCTCCTTTCAGGATGTGGCAAACGACCGCTCTCCGCGCGCGTGGTTAATGGTCAGAATGCAGCGCCTCATTCATGGCCATGGCAAGTCTCTCTCCGTGTTAGAGGGCGCCACATTTGCGGTGGATCTCTAATCAGACCTAACTGGATTGTGACCGCGGCTCATTGTGTTTATCGGTCCCCGTATCCAGACGGATACACAGTAGTAGTAGGTAATGTCAATTGGTGTGCGCTCGAAATTTTTACCGGCGCTATAGCTAGCGGAATTTCGTAGACCTTTATCCTTGCATAGTAGAAAGGCGGGCCGGTTTCTGTTCGTACGTATTGATATTCCGTAGCTATAGATTGGTTCACATTATTAGATATGGTATAAGTCAAGGATTCTGGTCTCAAAGTATCTTTTAGGATGCACTCGAAGAAATAGTAATAAAAACACGCTCTCATTTCAGTTTTTAGGCTCGATTTCCACCGGTATCTCGAGTCCGGTCTACTAGCGCGGGCTCCTTTCCTGAACAGCGGCTGGTAATCGAGCCTATAGGGGTCAAATAACGCTCGAGTCACGCCCGGATTGTTCTCCTTTAGGGGTTTAATTTAAACGAGCATCGACGAGCATTCTCGACCCTTTCATATTGGAGATTCCTCCCCGGGACGATGCCTCGTAGACAGCTTTAGTTCTGGTGTAGCAAAATCAAGCTGTTCATGTTGTGATATGATAAGACAATTTTGTTCTTTATCAGGTGGTCACAGACGAAAGGGTTCAACTGCTGTTCAAGAAGAGTTCGACGTAAAAACTGTCTACAAACATGATGGCTTTACCATGCAGAACTTGATGCACGACATTGCTGTGCTTGAGCTGAAAGGTTCAGCAAAAATAAGCGATAAAGTGTCTCCAGTTTGTCTACCTACAGAAGAACCAAGCCCCGGGACGGAATGCTACATAACAGGTGTAAAATAAGTATATCTAAAATAAGTTATTCAAAAGGTATGATGATCCTTTGCGTGAAATGCAAAACGAATAATCCATGCATTTTTTTTACTGATCTTTCAAATGCATTTCCAAAAGATATAATTCATTTGATGCTTAACAAGTTCATAACAGTCTTAAAGATCCCGTGACACGAGATTACATTATATCCCTGTTTGAGGATGTTGTCTTTTTTGCTTCGACAATCGCTGATATTAAAAATTATTTTAAAACAAGATTACCAAAAATAAAGTCATCACCGACAGTAGAATGGAAATGACGAATATTTAACACACAGTTAGTCTGAAATTAAAAGAAGCATTTTCTATGTTACAATTGTCTTTCAACCAGCAAGAATTAATAACGATATTCAGTAACACTAAGCGTAGAATTGACAAAACAGAACCTGATGATAGCGTATATCAAGCGTATTTGACTGGATGTAATTTGATACAATTAGACGATCAGTGTAATTAGACAATCTCCTCGATCAATCTTTGCTTTGACAAATTCTTTGGAACTCTAGTCATTTGGCTCTTTCGGGAATTAACAGATCTTAACGGATTAACAGACCTCCTAAGTTTTTTTTCGTCCTGTCTGTGCTAGGATGGGGACGTCTTTCCGGCAGCGGATCATCTCCAGATATACTTCAACAAGCAAAGATACCTATAGTATCCCATGAAGAGTGCAGAAAGAAGTACAGTCGCTATGACAGTAAAGCTCACCTATGCGCTGGACAGGGTCATTCGGGTGGGTCAGGAGGGTGCCAGGGAGACAGCGGTGGTCCGCTTGTTTGTGAAAAGGATGGTACTTGGTATCTGCATGGTGCTGTTAGCTTTGGCAAACGGGGCTGTCCAACTAAGTACAACACTGTGTTCGCACGAATCACAACATACATTCCTTGGATAATGGATAAGCTAGGTAAAGGATATATCTCTATATTCAGCCCTTCCTCCTTCTTTCACTCCCTTGTCACCAGCTAAAGGGTTTGGGTTGAACTGAGTTTAATACTGCTCAAGCGAAAAAATAAATTTGGATGGAGTGTGATTTGAAGACAGTTTTGTCCGGGTCTTGCTCTTGTTACACCGCTACTTGCATGGACTCGTGTTTAACAATTTGTATAAGAATGGACCGTATTCGTATTTTCGGTATTGGACTGGAATATAGCTTGCAGCTGAGGTTAATACGGAGAGTCTTTACAAATGTAAATGACATTAATCTCTTTTAAATGATATTCCCCTGGCCTATTAACCAAACCAGAGGTGTAAAGATATCGATTTTGTATTTCCTTAGAAAACAGACCACCAGCACCAACGCGACCTCCAAAAACAATACCACCAGGTAAGTACAAAATAAGATATAAAACCACTCGTAGTTTGGATTGCTGGCCTACTTCACATTTGGCAATTGTTACGTGGCTTATTCTTTACGTCCTAATTTATTTAAAACTAGGAATTATCTGAACATTTTATCGCTTAAGTGTTAAGTTCTACGAAGTCGTATCCGCACAGTTTTATTTAAATCATAACCAAAGGACTCGCTTCACCCAAACGTCAATTAGAACCATTTTTCAAAAAAAAAAAAAGGACTATTAGCCAGACTACCAATGATATATATTTCGAACTAGAGGTTTAATTCTACATTAACAGTGTGCACATAACATTGATTCAAACTAAATGCATTCTAAATAAACAACTAAATACGGATAAATTATGTCAGTTTTCTTGATATACAGAATTGATTATAATAAGGGGAAGCTAAGGCCCTATTTTTTTTATTTAGCTGAGTGAACAGTGACAATTCTCCTCATTCAGTCTTTCCTCTATTAATCTTTTCCTTTTTTAGGTTGCAAAGATAAACGAGAAGACTGTGCTGCTAATCAGTTATTTTGTCGTTTCATGCCGGACTTTAAGAGGGATTGCCCTGTTACATGCAACAATTGTAAGTATTAAACAACCATATTTTACACCAAGACTAAAATTCAATTTGAAACGACTGTTACACTAAATAAAAATAAGATTTAATATGATAACTGGCAATGAAAGGTTTAGAACGCTCTCATTTTTTTCTCTCTGCAGGTTGAACAGATTTCACCAAAGATTAACACATGTAATCTGACTATATGCTGGATTGCACTGTTTTAAAATGGGGAGACTAATAAAAAAAGTGTTTAAATCCACTGTTTCTTTATGTTGTTGCTCTCAAATGTTTTGAACATAATTATAATGCTGGTACGTAGGAGTGGGAAGCAGAAGGGAAAGGGGGAGTCAGGTACATTGTTAGAGTGGGTGAGTGTCTCATGGTTAAGGAATCAGAGCAATAAATAATAACAGTAGATTTATTGTCCTAAACACTGTTGTCATTCCAAAATAACAGAGGATAAATTGAAGAGACGCGGTGTACAGGAGGCCTGATGACGCCGTCTGTTTTGTATATAGGGTAGGGATTGAGACTCGACACAGGGGCTAGCAAATAATTATGTTCCATAATTAGTGTACAACCGAACCTTCTCTGTATCAGATCGCTCCTCTAAATAAGCAACATGTTTTTCTGATAAGATTATCCAAACTGGTTGAAACGTCTAAATCACATAGGGTAACTCAGAAATTGACAGTACTACAGTTAACTCCTTCTAGGGCTGAAGAATCTTAGTTGGATGTAAGTCACATGACTCTCAGCTGCCGCTCATCATAGCATCAATAAGGTCTCAGTACATCTTAGTAGAGTTGCTGGGATTTTGTATTTGTAGAGAACAGAACGTCAACAGATAAATCGTGTTTGGAAAGTACGTGCAAGTCTTACATAATGGTAGCGTCCTGGCTGAGCAAGTTTTATTAGGTTTAACCCAAGTGTCCACACACCTTTGCAGATGCGCTTCCATTGAAAGTCCCACTCAAGCCACCTGATCAATTATATTAGTTCAGCCGCTGCTATACGTCTTTCTTTGTATACTAAAAGGAAAACTCTGTTTAGATAAATCTAATAGGGCACTTGCGCCGTTGTATGCCTAAAAGATTTAGCTTCATCAGATATTGTCTCTCAAGCTACGAAGTTACCCAGATTTAGAAAATTTTTGCAGCATTGAAAAGCCGGTCAGCTGGCGAAATCATTCAGCAATGCTCCTCGTGTTTGCCATTGTTACCAACTGCACTTTGCCAAAGTGGGTAATTTATTTTATTTAGCACCCCACGTTTTTCTCATTAGCCTTAAAATTTATAGGCTGGGCGTGTTTGCCGTGTGCTGTTTCTATTTTGCGCTTTTTTCCTTTTGTGGTGCAATCCCCCTGTTGAAAAAAACTTAACTAGTTGTAAGTTTCACACGCCAAAACGAATGATTATCTGAAGCTTTAAAGGCTCCAAATAACTGATAGAATGCTCCGCATAAATTCTTCTCATACACTCTTTCTTTCAATAATTAAAATCTAAGTACCGCAAAAGTTATAGTTTAACAACTACGAAAATTAGGAGAAAAATACCCAGGTCTCTCCGAGTACTTAAAAAAGAAGTAATTGAATATACTAAGTTTAAATAAATGTCGTCGCATGTGCGAGTGGTGAGTCAAGAAATTACATGTAAGAACGAAGCGGAAATGTTTCTGGGACAAAATGAAGAACTTAATGCTAAATTTAGTTTCTTGTTAATATCATGGGATTGCCTTAAATCACAGGGTATGGCAAGTGACCATCCTCAGCTCGGGTAGTGAACGGGCAACATGACGGGACGCAGGGAACGTCTACTGCAAGTACCGCAGAGAAATGGTAGGAGATTTTCCTAGCATTCCTTACATACTCTCACTAGGGTTCTTCGTCTTGCGGCCAGGGATGGCGTCATAATCTGTTTCAGTGACAGGTCGATGATATTAAATAAAAAATAAACTGGATAGGGCCGATGGAATATGAGACAAGCTTTAAAATGAAGTCACGATATTAATAGTGCTTTAAAAGTAAATAGTGCGTTCGAGTCATTCCCGATGCTTTCAAATGATGGCGGACTCCACCGACGCCAATAACCTGGAACAAA